GGCATTTGGTTCATGATGTAGTGAATTTTGCAATGGTGTTGGAGGTATTCGTTGTGGAAGTTGTGGTGTGACAAATGGTAACGGCGGAGGTTGAGTTTGAAGAAGGTGAGGCCAACTAGGCACTTGAGGTGGTGTGTTCTTTACGGCATTGCTGTATGATGTGTGATGTAATAGTGGCTTGGGACCTTGGGAAGAAGTCGGTTGAGTTTGTGAGGATCTTTGTCTTTGGGCTGGCATTGTATTAGAAGGAACTGTAGGTTTTGGTCTGGCACGACCGCGAATTGCGTCCTTAAGGTTTTTGGCGAAAAATTTTACGTACCGTTTAAGAATATGTTTCTGATCGTAAAGAATATTTGATTGATTCTCAAAGAGGTTGTCATGTTTGACTAACTGCACATTGGGTAATCTTGAGCAGCTACTGATCAACTGATTGTTTATTGAAGTTATTATTGGTGTCGGGATGTCGCTGCGGGGAAGAAGTGTTGAGTAGAATATTTTGCTTGAAGGAAATTTCGTTGAGGCTTCTGTAATCAATATTAAGATGTTAGAAATAAGATCTTCAGGAGAACTGGTTCTTTCTAGATCGTTTGTTCCTGTGTGTAATATGAGTAGTCGGGGAGCAGTGTGGATTTGACTTTGTAAGTACGATCTAGCGTGTTCAATCAGTGGAGTTCTAACATACTTCACTTCCTGGTCTGAAGAAAACATTTTTTCCATGTCTAAAAACTTTCCATTTGAATCACATAGAAAGATCACTTCATTAGAATTATTGGTGTCGTTGGTAGCAGGAGACTTAGGAGGGTGCTGGGAATTAGTGTCTACGGGTTTGTTTTGTGGTTCTTTTCTTGGCGGGTTTTCTGGTAGATCTTGAAGGGGAGAGAAAGAGTTTGATGTTGGAAGATTAACAAGTAGTATCTCATCTTCTGACCATTGGTTGTCGTTTGATGTAGGAATGGCAGCTTTATTCTTTGTGCTATCATTGAATTTGTCGTCCATTTCTTCACCAGAGGTCTGGCTCGACGTCTTAGTTGTTTCCGGCGGCAGTTGTATTGTTTCCCAGAGGGCTTTAATTTGGTCCTTAAGAAAGGTGATTTCCGCTTCAAGCTGGTTCTGTGTTCTTCTCATGGTTGCGTTATCCTCCGATATTTTCGCATTTTTCTTTTGAAGTGCTTGATTTTCATTCTGTAATTTGGAAATTAAGTCAGCGTGTTTTTGTAAATCGTGATTTAGAAGTTTAGTATTGTTTTCCAGATCATCAGCAAGCCCCCCTAGGGTTGTTGTTTGTACTTTGAAATTGTGATCCAGTTGGGCAGCTTTGTCTTTTAGGTGCTCGAGGTTACCAGCGTTTGTTACTTTAAACTCAGTAAAATCGGCTTCTAAATTTCCGACGGTATTTCGAAGAGTAGTTAAGGTGTTTAGCCTACTCGGTGTAAGGGAGAGTTCAATGGGTGTTGACAATTGCGTTATTCTTGTATTTCCTTTGTCTGCACTGGGTGTTTCTGTTTCTGTTATGTCACTGACAACATTTTCGGCATTTTCCACGGTAGTGTCGTTTAGTTCCGAAGCCCTTGTGTCCGCAATCTCACATCCTTTGTACTTTGTGAAAAACTTTTGGAGTTCTATATGGAATGCAGATTGGTCCTTTGCGCTAACAGCGCTAAGGTTTCCTGACGACCCGAGACTGTTAACAATAGATAGCAGTGCAGGAAATTCCTGTTGACTCCACTCGGCGAATTTTTTGCCTTGAACCATGATTCTGCCAGTGGAAATAAAGATAGTTATGGTGACCATTTGATCTTCAATGTTATTTTCTTCCTCGTGAATGTGCATGATGATTTTATCGCTTTTGGTTGGGCAGCTATGTGACTCTTGTTCTTGCCATGTTACTCGATATCCCATCACGTTCAGGTGATCAAAGTATCGCACAGCGAAGGTTTTGATCCATAAAAGTAGCCGGTCTTCAGATGTTACAAAGGAGACAACCTTAGCAGCAGTTTTGTAGGCTGAAAAATCGATTGCTTCGAATAAAACTGATTTGGATTTAGTGGATGAGTGAAATTTGTCGACCAGATATCGGTGAAGATCATCACATGGTTTCATGTCCACCATTGAGGCTGGCTTGAATGTTACCTTTTTCTTTTGTCCAGGATTATCTCCAGGCTCGAAAGAGGGGTCATCTTTGTCTTCATCCATGTATATTTACGTTTTGATAAGCTTTTTACCAGTATAATTCAATCCTTCCATGTAAACGACTAAACTTCTCGCACCTCAAAAAGCAGTGACCATTTTCAGTGGTAGTAGTAGTAGTAGTAGTAGTAGTAGTAGTACTACTACTACTACTACTACTACTACTACTACTACTACTACTACTACTACTACTACTACTACTACTACTACTACTACTACTACTACTACTACTACTACTACTACTAGGAGTGGTATTTTATTATTATTATTATTATTTTATTTTATTTTTTTTTGCTGGAACTTTTTTTCGCGGATCGGGGAAAAAAAACGCAAAAACCGTAGTAGTCCGGCCTAAATAAGTTAAGGCCGACTGAACTGATTCAAACACCGATCTTTAACCCAGCCAAACTAAATATCACAAGAAGCCGGGATATGTTTCATGGAACTGTATGGGACACACCGCCCGCCAGTTCGAAAAAGAGTTTAAGTGCAAGCTAGTACCACGAGTAGCATATGTTTACCTGCCTGGAACTGTATGAGGCGTGCAGTCCGCCAGTTCAATAAAGACGTTAAGTGCGCGCAAGATAGTATCACGAGTACTAGGATATGTTACATGGAACTGTATGATGTGTGCCGCTCGTCACCTCGAAGAAGACGTTAAGTGCAAGCTAGTATCACGAGTAGGATATGTCACATGGAACTGTATGAGGCGCGCAGTCCGCCAGTTTGATAAAGACGTTAAGTGCACACAAGCTAGTATCACGAGTAGGATATGTTACATCAAACCAGAAGCACATAACCCGAAGCGTATAACTCTGTCCCAATGCCGCCGATTTTTAGGCAACCATTCAAAATTTACTTTCCAATACGGAGTTACTGATAAGCGAGATTGTCGTGCGAGTGCTTAGGAAAAATGGAATCGTGATGTAAATGATGCGCTACAAAATACAATTACTGTTTTACAACGTAAAATTCGACCAAAATCGGAATATCCTCAGAACAAGACAAAGTCTATTACTCATGACATGCACCGTTAGAGCCTAGTGGTTTTGGATGACCATAAACGCAAATAACCTTTATTGAAGTTTTGAATATATGAAAATCATATATGTGGACGGCGGAGTGAAGAATTAAATGAGGGATGATCATCGCAGTTATATACTCAACTTTTGCTGTTGCGAAAAGAAAGGCTGAAAAAAATTCAGGCTTGTACGGGATTTTTTTTTCGGCCTTTCTTTTCGCAACAGCAAAAGTTGATTATATAATGTGATGATCATCCCTCATTTAATTTTTCACCCGCAAATCACATATATGATTTTCATATATTCAGAACTTCATCATCATCCTTCACGGGTTCATAATGAACCAATTCAAGGACCTGCTCCCAGTTGGCTTGTTAGCTTAATTGGTAAAGCGCTGCACCAGTATCGTAGAGCTCAAGGGTTCGAATCCCGTACAAGCCTGAATTTTTTTCAAGCTTTCTTTACGCAACTGCAAAAATTGCGTATATAACTGCGATGATCATCCCCCATTTAATTCTTCACTCCGCAGTTCACAACTTCATCATCATCCTTTCACGGGTTTATAACGAACTAATTCAACGCCACCTGCTCCTAGTTGGCTCGTTAGCTTACAAGCCAGAACCTTTCAGCGCAACCTATAGATAACTGACTAATCTGTAGGTTACGCGCCAAATGCATGATTTCCAATAGCAATATCAATTCAGGTTAAGTGCAAAGGTGTGTTTGTCGTTATTCTCTTTAAAACAATGTATTATTAAACAATTATTAGATTCGGTTTTTGTGATATCCTAAATAATCAAGGTCTCCGTTATCAGCCTCGGCCTTCGGCTCGGTTGATAACACTTTACTTCGACGTTGATTACTGCGGCAATAATTGTTTACAAAGTCACTCATTATCTATCTAAAATAAATAGTAACACATATTTTCAAATAAAATTCACTAGCTGCTGAACCCGAAAGGACAAATTTTATTAATCTCGCTGACGCCTTTGCAGAAGTGATGCGTGCAATGATAAGTATGTCTCACGATCGGGTATTCAACTTATGTTATAAAAGAACAAACAGAAAACAATAGACAGTTCGGAAAAGAAGTTAAGTACAAGTTAGTATCATGAGTATCTAAACTTAACAAGTGCGCATTCTCCTCAGCGTAAGACCACAAGAACATGCTAGCGAGCTTGTTGTTCGCAGGTGGTATAAAAGTGTCGTTGTCTTAAAACCACTGTGATTCTAAGCTAAAAACTGACTGTAATTCGCAACCCTAAAGTCAAACGCAAAACCGCTGAGACTTAATTGAAACGCATGGTACTTTATTTATGAAAACTAAAGTGGTCATCTGACTTACAACCAAAACGTTAAGCTGGGTTTTTAGAAGTAAGTCCGTAAGATTCCTAAGGTATACAAAAGCTTTTAACTTCCTGATCACTTTCATCTAGTTTTCTCCTGTAAAACAGTATTTGCAGCTACAATTCGCAAGGGGCTGCTCACTATTTTGTGTATTTCAATTTCGTCTTTGCGACAAATTGCTTGCAATTAAGGACACGCTGCAGAGGACTACAAGGTGGTAATAAATTTGTTGTTGTTGTTGTCTTTTTTTTTCTTAGAGTTGAGACGAAGTAGAAGGAAATGGAAAGTCAAGCAGACCTGTCTACTGCTGCTGATGATGAAAGCGCTTCAGTGTCCGGCGTACCTGCCAGTTCGTCCAGTCGCACGAAAAGGAAATCCAAGAAGTGTAAGAAATGTGGAAGCATAGTTCAGAACTTAAGCCGCCATCAAAGCGATGTGCATAAAATGTCAAAGATGAAAAAAAAACTGGATGTTTCTGTAACTCGAGAAAGAAAGCCACCCAATCGAAGGATAAAATTTTGTCCTCTATCCCCGTGCAAGAGGGAGAAGAAACCGATATTTCAACTCCACAAATATTTGCAGACTGGTATACACAAACTAAAACCAGGAACACCTGCTTATTTAAATGCGCTATCGCACGCTCCACGAGCTTCGTTCAAAAAAGTAGAATCCCACTTAAAACGCAGGAAAAACGGCAGGCAGGAGAAACAGTACAGCGAAAGTGACGAAGAGGCTAATTGGCAAGATGAAGATAACAACACACACGAGGAGGTGGGGTCTAAACGATGCAGCCCAGGGAAAAGTGACGAATTCGAGGATGAAGATTATGAGGAACTAGCCACAAAGGCTGATGAAAAATTAAAGAAAGCAGCCTGGAAGATTAAGCATCGACAGGATAGAGCAGCAGAGAGTAAAAGGAGACACAAGCCCAAACGCAGAAGATCGCAAGAAACCATTTCAGAGACAAGCAACTGTGGAAGCAGAAAACTGCAAGAAACCATTTCAGAGGCAAGCAACAGTGCAAGCGAAGTTAACGAGGGCGATGGTGCATACCCTGAAGACAATGAAACAGTCGAGGATATTATTCCGTGCAGCCCAAATATAGACAGTGCCAGGGTAACTAAAGAAGATTATGAAACACTTGCAAGAGGAGCACTAAACAAGATGAAGAAAACATCCAACAAGAGGAAGCATCGAGGGGAAGACAGAAGAGAAGATAATGCGATGAAAACCATTACAGACAGTGATGAAGAATACGATAATCTCACAAGAAGATTATGGAATAATAGTCATGAAGAAAAGAAGAGTGAAAGGAGCGACGAGGAAAGAAAGAATCTAGGTTCAAAAGAGATCAGCGACGGAGGACTTGACGGTGCTAACGGGGAGAACGTAGTCAGTGGTAATCAGACAGAATGTTTTGAAATTTCCGACAGCGACGAGTCTGGCTCGGATCCTGACTACGAATGCGAAGAAGAGATTAATTCAAGTGACTCCAGTCAATCGGACATATCCCTCGACTCCTCTTCTCTTCCTGTTGAATGCGAGGAACTATTGACCGAATTTGTCGAGATTGTCGGGGAAAGTAATGTTGACGAAGGATCACTTTTGGATAAAGAATTAGATTGGCTCCAAGAAGTGACGGAGTTTAAAGAAAACAAGTTATCGCATGGTCACGTTTTTAAAACACCTGTCGAGTCAACGCAGGAACTGGTACGATTGGCGGAAGAGTACGATAAATACGTACAGGAGGAACTGTGTTGTGTGATTGGAGGAGATCAAAGCGATAATGATGATGCGCTCGACACAGATTGGAACCCAAGCGATTGTGACATTGAGGAAGGAGCAGACGTAGAGACAGAGAACAACGATGTCAATGATGAGCTTACTGGACAACTGCTGACGGAGTTTTATGAATGGTTAATTGACGTGGATGGAGGGTACAGATCAGAAAAAATGGCGCAGCAGTACAAATCCCAGGTACGGAGTGTCGTTCGCCGTCTAAAACAGGAGGAAACGGCAGCCAAAGAAGCCCAAAACTCAAAACCTTCAGTGTACCTGCTAGTGCGTCCGGAAAAAGAAGGGGTAAATCTCTTGAAAAAGTGGCTGTCATATGCTGTGGAAAAGTATCAGCCGGGAACTGTGAGATCTTATCTCATGAGTTTGCGTCTGTTCTATAAATTCTTAACGCAAGAAAGAAAATCTGAGATGTCTGATGTGAGTGTGGATACCTTAAATGCACGCCGGGATCTCATGACTTCATGGTCAGCGGCCCAAAAGAAAAAGGTTTTAAAGAGGAAACTCCAAAAATACGACGAGGATTTCAACAAGCTCATTTCAAGTGAACAGTTTTACAAGGTCTGCCATGGTGAACAACGCATAAATGCCATTAAAAAGCTGGCCACTTCTTCACAAGAAACGAATAAAGGCACTGATATTCGAAGAATTGTCAACGACAAGACCCACTGTGAGGTGCGAGACTGGCTTATAACTCGTCTACTGATCGATAATAGTGGAAGAAGCGGTGTTGCTTCAGGCATGAAAGTCAGCGAGTTTAAGGCTGCGGTGTTTTACCCGGGCACAGACGAAGACCTTGCTCGTTACAGAATCCTTGTAAGTGATCACAAAACCGCCGGTGTCTACGGCGCTGCAGTTGTTTGGGTGTACGATGACCTCTACAACCTGATGGACATGTACCTTAGAACTGTACGAAGCCAATTCGCTGCGACAGCTGCCACGGAGGTTGAGCAGTTTTTATTTCAAGTTATGGGATGTCACTGACGTCTTCACAAGTATCAACTTCCATATGGAGGGCTTTTCAGAGAGGGGCATCTTTAAGGAGGGGCGAATATGTGCTACAACAATAAGAAAGTCGCTTGCAACCGGCATGCATGTACATATGCCACATGAGAAAGATCATCTCGCTGCCTTGGCTCAGCATAAGACG